GGGGTCAAGCCTCCTGGAGGTCCTTGGCATGCACCGCATTAAAAGTCAGCCAAAGAAGGAATCCTTGGTTTCTTCGCCTGCAGCTTGGGGACAATGGGTTCTGTTACAATTTTGATTTATTTTCTATTGATCTCTGTGTGTTTGTGTTTTTTGAAAATGCCTAGTGGTTTTCAAGAAGGAGAAGGATTAGATGTACCCAAAGATATGGAGGATAAGAATGTCACTGTTTGGACACAGCCTTCTCAGTCAAATAATAACTGAACAGAAGGTGCATTTGAGGGGAATATTTCTTTTAAGGAAATACTTCTCAGGAAAATAGCATGTAATGTTACAAACGTTACTGATATTTCATCAGAATTACTACATATTGTCAAACATCTGAGAAACAATGAATCATTGGGGAAAAAATGGCCACTGGCATATTATCAGCTAAGATGGAAAGAAAGCTTAAACTCCTGCTAACTTTTCACAATGTATTCTATAATGATGTATTTGGCAGGCGCCAGCTCAGCAAGCGGAAATAGATGCCTAGAGAGATCAGCTCATTGCCCCTGACTTGCTATAAGGAAATAGAAATCTGTGTAAAGGAAGCTCTTTGAAAAATAAATTTTGCAGCAGCATTTGCAAACTTCACCTCGGTGTTGAGTGCTTTTGTCTGACCGTCATTGCCGAACCTGCTCCCACCTTTCAGAGAACCTGTATCTCCTCGTGAAATCCCGTGTTTGCTGCCCTACAGTCGGTAGCACAGAGCGACTCCATGTTGACCAGCAAACGACCTAGAGACTGTGGCTCCCCCGCATCCCTTATAGGATAACTAATGATTAATTGTGAATTGTTACGTAACTGCTTTGAAGTAGCTGGGAAACTAAATGGAAACTGTAGTGAACACAGAGACCCAACACAAATCACGCCACTCCTTACTTGCCTGTAGTTGAATGTTCTGAACATTATAATCTAAGTTGTAAATGGAATAATGGATAATCGATCTGCTGATCATTAGTACGTGACGGTCAAGTATATGCTTGATGACCACTAGCTCAGATCAACTGATTCTTTGCCTTTGTCCTCTTCCTGTAAGTTTTAAGTGTAAACCCCCCCTTAGCCCTATATAAAATGGCCTCTGTTTCTGAGCTAGCCGCCTCTCTGAGCTACTTGGCTTAGGGAGTGCCGTCTGGCCAGACTAATAAAGGTCTATTTGCCAACTTGCCTGGTGTGTTCCTTCCTGGGTGACTCTCGCTGTCCGACAAGCTCCTGGAGCCTCGCTGAGCTTCTGAGCCCAGCATCGTGGAAGCCTCTTGGCTGTTCACGCTCTAGGAGTAAAAGTGAGACTTAAGTCTTACAGAGAGACTAAAAAAA